GTATTATTTGTCCATCTCTTTATAAGATAGTTCTGTATAAGTTTTTATTGAATTACTAAATCTTAAACAATATAAGTGATATAAGCAACGAATTAAAATTTTTATTAGCTTGAAAATAAAATTATCAAATGAAAATATTAGCTCTCTAGAAGAAGAAATCAACGAGTTTGAAGTTAGCAGCAAACTAATAAAAAATATCTGACAAGTATTGATAGTACACACGAGAAACAACAGTTCATTTATTTTAAAAAATTGATTGACTTAAAAAACAACTAATTCACGAAATAAAATGTTCATTCTTTATGACAATATCAGTATAGTAGATAATAATAAAGAAATATTAATCAAAGCAAAATATTGCATTGTACTTACTGTACTTGTACTGATCCAATCATTGATTCAGACTCTTGTGAATGGACTAAGTTCAGAATATCCTGCTTAATCTACTAACTTGTTGAAAAAGTTTTTACACAGTGCTATATTAACTATGCATGTATCTGATAAGTACTCATATACTTAGATGATTCTAAACATAGTACTCAATCACGATCCTATGACATAATGATAAAAGGATACCAGAAAAGATACTCTGCTGACAATTTACTGAATATATGTGTACTTTTTAATTTTTAGGTAAATGTTCATTATATCGTGATTTGTTGACTGATTCAATTATTTATTGTTTTCTTCCTTTGATCGATTTTAATAAAATTCTTGGTTCAGTCGATCATCAACAATATAAATTTCCATTGACAACAGTAAATATCGATAGTATTGTTGGTTTACCTAAACCTAAAGATATTGATATTAGAAATATTGAATCAAATGAAGAATTTCTTTTTCGATTTATTCAACAAATAAATGAATGGTTTGATTGGTTTGATCGATTTATTGATATTTTTCAATATATTATCGATTGGTTAAAAAATCATAATGTTAATTATTCGAATCAATTATTTATTGATTTATTAAATATTCGTTATGATTCTAAAATGACATTTATTGAGATGAGAATAATTATTGATCGTATTTTGAAAATTTTACAACCATTCAAAGATCTTCAACATCTTTGTTATCTATTCAATTGTTTAATTTCATTAGAAATACTTAATCCAGGAACATTAAATATTCAAGATAATACAATGAAATTTCTTACAGAATTAAAACGTTTTCAACCTAATAATACATTTACAGTAGAAGATAGAACTACTTATGAACACATTATATATATTAGTGATCGTCAACAAGTTCAATGGTCATTAGTAAGTGAAAATTATCCATGTCATATTAAACTAGAATATCGAATACATGGAATGAATAATCAATATGAAATATTATATCAAAAAGAAAATGTTCCTATACATAAAAATATTCTTCATGGTCAATTTGAAAGTCAACGTAATGGTCAATTATTAATAACTATTAATAATAAAAATAGTTCAACTTCAAGAATTATTTGGTATCAAATTAAATCAATTAGTTTATCAACTTGTCATTTATTTGATGGTATTTTCAATATATATTATAATAAATATTATCATGAAACTTCACAAATGATTTCCGAACAAGATTTTAGTCAATTACTTGATGAAGTTTTTGATTTTATAAATAAACTTTTAAATGGTAATTTAAGTTTACAAGCTATGACAGAATTACGAACTATTTTCTATGATAAAAATATTAATA